GGTTACTTTATCATTCGAACTAACATAATCACAAATCAGTACTGACTCTCCCTCTGTTTCCTTCAAAAGGTTATCCTTTAAATATTCAGCGTAACAGTTCTCCTTCGACTCGCAATTCTCCAGTTTTGCAAATATTTTGTCTCGCTTGCGTCAAATAAAGGTGTGCATTAGTAGCATGTCGTTGTTCAGTTCTTGGTGGCTGTCCTCTAGTGGACCGCATAATTCGGACGGTCATCCTTTCTTGGTGAATTTTAAGAAAACTAATTTAAGAGACCTAAGAAGCACGTAATCTTTTGCATAACCATTTAGACGAAACAGATTTGCATCATTTGTGCTAAAGTAGAGATAGTGAATGTGAAAGTTCGAGAACGGTCTACTTAATCTCTCGTGAACTGAATGGGGATGATTACGTGGGTGAAACCTGCCCACCACTCTGCGTCCGCATTAAGATCCGCAATCACTTAGCAACACTGTTAACGTAGTACTTGCTCACAAGTTTCCTGCACCACAAGAAAAGAAATACACCGACGCTGCTCGAACACAGGAAAGACTGGTCGAAGTGAAAAAAAAATAGATTTTACAAACGGTTATGAAATGAACACTGGACCACTGGGCAAATAGATTTTATGTCGTCGAATTTGTCGACATTTCCTCTCATTAAAGCTAGCCATCTGGAAAATAACCGTCTCCATGACAATAATCCCTAGTAAACGGGTCATCTTTGAAAAGCTGCAGCACACCCGTTTTCGCCCTGGAATTGTAACGAAATGGCTAACGGCGAAGTCTAGCGGTTCAGATTGATGTAGAATATTAGCCACGCCAGTCTTTTAGTTGATGTATTGATTCGCCAGCTTCAAACATGGGTAATTAAAGCTTTAATACATAAATACAACACTAATAACATAATTTCGATTTCGAGAAATAGGACATTTCTACTACCTTCGAGTGCGACGTAATTTGCCATCGTATCTTTTGGTTATTCTGTTTTCCCTGGTTGCCTCTAGCTGTTTCCTTTTGCGATACTTGCAATTGGACAACTTGAATTCTGCTGTCCATGCTGTGATGTTCACGACAAACATCAAAGCCGCCGATAGTGTCTGAAATTATTTGAAAATGGTAAGTTCAACGAAAACAACTAGTGTGAGATGATGTGAAAGCGTTTCAGTTTAACAACAGCAAGTGAAACAGAGTGAATATTACTGGATTCAATCACTATGTTTATTGTGGTTTCCAGGTAACGAAAGCGAGTGATATCTTCACTCACACATGGTCGGTCGCTTTGGAAATACACTTCTATCTCATATTCCCTCCCATTTTTATAGTCTACAAGTCAATTCGCCGTTTTATGGCGAATCTATTTCTGATAGCCGTCGGTGAGAATTCATCGTCAGTATTATTATTTCCTAGTTACTTCGGATATTAGTGTCGGATCTCAGCTCCTATTTTTAAACCGGAACACCCATGTCTTGGAACGAATTGCTTAATGAAAATAAAAACTATTAGAGCCCACACATTTTTCCGGAAGGGAACGGTTATATACATACATACATGCGTACATACATACATACATACATACATACGTACGTACATACATACATACATGCGTACATACATACATACATATATACATATATGCATACATGCATACATACATACATACACATACATATATGTATATATATATGTGTTCCGGTGGCACAAATCTCTTGAGTTTTTGTAATGATGGAGTCGGTGAAAGCAGTTTCGGCTCCTCTTCAGAAATACTTCTCGCACGGGAGGTTGTCGAAGTGCATGAAGATGTAGTAGTCGGTAGGCGAGACGTATGGCGAGAATGTTCGATAAGGCCTAGTTCCGTAGCCACTGGCTAAATTTTTGTTGAGGCACTTGCGCGATGTGTCACCGCGCATAATCGTTATCATAGTTATTATCTTCTTCTGTTAACCAATGGATTACACAACCATTGGGGTTTCCAATGAATTTCGTGATATGCTGAACTTACTTTATCAGCGCAATTGTTTTACATGGAATCACAAGGTTATGATGATCAAACCAGCTGTACACTACCAATCGGTCTCTATAACCTTCTTTTAGTGTAATTTGGGCTTTGCGAAGTGCTGCAAAACTTCATTGCGGTTATGCTACTGAGCCGATCGACGCCGTTCACCGCAGAATGTCTTAAAACTGACTGTGTCTTTCATTAAACCTCGGTAAAGCACCCAATACATTCTACGGTCATTAGTGAACGGCAAACTTCGCGATCATCTTTTTAACACAACAGCCCTTCTATCGCTCGGCAGTCGAGAGCACCGTAAAAGCCTTTTTGACGTCGAGAATTTTACGCATCAACACAGAGTTCACAAAAAATTATCTTGAAACACATCTGGCACACTCAATTCCTTGCCAGATTATGAAGTGCTAAGATTTCACGATTATCTTATTATCAAAAGGAATATAAATCGAAAGCGAAACCTTGAGCCAATCGTGTAATGAATAATGTAGATGACAACTAAAGGAGGAGAGCGGTAAGGTGACGCTTCTACGAGGATGTATTCCTCGAGCCACCACTGATGAGATTGGCGAGCAGAGTGGATGGTTTAAATCAACTAGCCATATTCGCGGTTGTAAATTATTTGTGGCCTACGGGATGATCTCCGTAGACGCCTTCCTTGAAAGCGTGTGTTACCACAGATACCGATGGTAAGGAATGAATAGTAGAGATGTCAAGCGTATAAATGACTTAAGAGTCCTAGTCGCCTTAGTATCCAAATAAGCATATGATGCTGCTTTCACCTAACTTTCGTGCTTCTAATCACATTTTTATCCATTTTTAAACAAATACGTAGAATGTTTTTAAAGTTTGTTCGAAATTTACAGGGATAGCTGTTGACGCGACGTTTTCTAGCTTCCATTTCTATACTTCTTCACATCTACCTTCCAGAAGAACAAGCGTTCAACATGGTTCATGCCAGATTGTGGCAGTTTATCTTAGGTAAGTTCGAGCATTCTTTTCGATGCCCATTTGTGAAACAGCTTTTAAAAAGTCGTATCCTAATGGAATCGGTTAGCAATGCTATTAACGTAGTACTTGCTCACAATTTTCTTACAACCTAAGAAAAAATACATCGACGCCACCCGCACACGGGAGGCTGGTAGAAGTGGAAAGAAACAGGTTATCAAAAAGGTTGTGAAAGAGCCCTAGCCAACTGGTCAATGGATTGGACGTCGTCGCAAGTGTCGACGTTGCCTTTCATTAATGCCAGCCATCTGGAAAATAACCGTCTCCACGGCAATAATCCCTAGTAAACGGGTCATCTTCTAAAAGCTGCAGTACACCCGTTTTCGCTCTGGAATCTAAAAACATGCATACGAATAATCTTTTGGGAAGGAGAGCGCATTTCTTATTTGCTTGATGTCGAAGCAGTAATGAAAAAATCTATCGTTTTGACAACAAAGTTTCCTTTGTTTTCCTTTGTCAACGCTTGGAGGCAATTCGTGAATTTTCTGCTATGGGTGAAATACGTGACGAAAGCTTCGATAAGAAAAAGGGCTAGGACTGCCACTGATGCGAACGATTTCGAAACCTATGCAGACTGTGTTCAAAAATAGGCTTTTGTTTTTTACCTGCACCGCTCTAACAACGACGTTTTATTCGAAATGAAAATTGTGGTGTTAAGGTAATCTCGTTCACCAGTGGGATCTGAAATCAACCGACTCGGGTATGTACGAGTCTTCTTCCACTTTCTTTTCATGCAGTTTTGAACTGCTTCCTTCATTTCACCGTTATCTAAGCTCTACTAGCAAATACTTTAATCGAAACATCCATCCGAATTCACGTGATAACTACCGTGATGATTAATTTCTTTCCATTCTCTTTACTTTCACGATTGATGAACAGGTAACGAATGGCTTACTATTTCCTTTCCTGGTGAGTAGAAATGCTATTCTTTAATATTCTATGACCTTGTAGAATCGTTTGTACATTTGTGACGGCTGGTCTTATATTCTTCCATCTTACGGGCTACACTTCGGTTCTTTCCTGGAAATGTTTCACCCACGTGGGAAAACTGTCCTAATCGTTATATCTTATCCACTGGCCGATTTACATTGTTGTGAAAATGCAATTGCCTAACAGCACAATGAGCGAGTTTAAGCAGGTCAGCATTATTCCACAGGAATTATAACGTCAAACACATGTATGCTTTAAGAATAGAGCACTCATTCCTTTCCTCTGCCACTCTTTTCTCAAAGAGCGAAATTACAAAGATCACTGCAACAGTGGACAACGCTGACTATATTTTAGATACAGTTTTAAATAATTGCATTCTAAGGCACATTTTCGCATTCCTTTCCATCTGTTCCACCAAAATTTTGATCTGAAATGATTCCCTTGGTTTCGTAAATATTTGCTGCTTATTTCGACAAAGTGTAAAATTTTTCTGTAATTTAATCCCTTTGTCATTCTCAAGGTCTTCACTTCGGTGTTGTGGCTTCTGTGAACGCATCGGTGTTGCTTACGGAGACTTTCGAAAAATTTTGTCTACGAGCCCGTATGAAAACTATTTTCTGTTTGATCCGCTGTCTCTATTCGATCATCGCCGCATTCTATGTGAACGAAATGTCGAAGAAACTTCACATTAACGGTACTCAATGGATTGATGAAATGTCCACACCTGTGTGCACACTGAAAGATCTCAATTCACGGGAAATCTGCGATATTCCTTTTAATCGGATGAATTTAAGCACAGGTTCGGCCATTTTTCATTCATATACTCTGTTCTATCATTGCTTAATTTACGAGAACTCCCTTAATGCTCCAAAATTCAAAACAGTGCTTGCAGAAGAGATCATTAGTATAAACGAGTTCAACTGCATAAATAACACGAGTCAGCTATCTTATGGCAGATGCTCCTATCGCAGCAAACCCGTCTCATGGCGATGGTGTGACCTTTCGCCCGAGGTACCACTCGCTAAACATTTTATTTCTCAGAAATCGACTTTGTAACGTCTTGTTGTGAAACCGAACTTCAGTACACAAGATCCTAGTGATTGGCAATAGTTACGCGGCAAATCAGGGTCAAATAGTGCACGAAATGTGCGCTAATTCTGACGTTGTAGTGAAAATCTTCCAACAGAACGGTAAGTTCCCTACCTGAAATCTGCTTCAGAACCATTTTTCGGACGTTTCCACTGCTTCCATAGGCCAATCAAAAATTACTTCGACTCTACCCTACTAAGATGAATAGCATCAGAAGCTGCATGACTACGAATCCATTATATAAAGTTCGTGTGTTAATTCTACAGTAGTGCTTCAGCATCTGAAGTTCTCCGTGTAACGGAATATAGTCACTGCGGCGACTCTCGCACGATGTTCCACGAAGCTGTGCACCAGTACAAACCAAACGTGCTTTTTATCCTTACTAGGTAGGCAATAAAATCTCCATGCAAGATTAACAAAATTGCCGAGACTAAATAAAACCCAAGTGAAGAAATCTCATTCTCTTGTTTTCAACAATGCACAGTTACTGATCCAACCAGTTATGTATTTTTCATGATTCTTTTTAAGTAATTTCATGAGCCTCACTAAGCATATATAAGACTGACAGCAAAAATTTTTTAAGGTAAATCAAATGGATGGAATTACCAACGAATACTTCAAATGGAAGGTAGCTATGATAGTAAATATTGCCGCAGACATTCTTCGCGACCTGTCTCAAGTCCTCACTGACCGCATCTTCGTGCTCCACGCCATTCCTCGGCAGAAGTTTAACTTCCACTTAAATCCCTCTGACGTGCTGGGAATTAGAAAAGTTCTAGACCAAGTACGCTTTTGCTTCATTCCTTCTTATACCGACAAGTTATATAACACAAAGCAGAAAAGATAGGTATGCAAGTCTTCGTCATATCATAAGACTTTATTCACGAATTTTTTTTCATTTTGATGGTTTTATTATGTTTGCATACGATTGGCGCTAATTCAGAGATAGCGATGAGAATGTATTCATATTGTTAGCTCAGCATTTGTGTAGCCAGCAACTTAACCATGAGCAGTTCTATACTCGTCTTGTGGTGAAAGCTGCATCTTTCGTGTGACCTTGAAAGAGGTGGCGGTACGGAATGTTGGTGGAAACGAGTGTAGAAATAAAGAGACATTCATATATTATGCCAAAGCATCGACCAAAAGCCGACCTGTAACCTATCTCAAATAAAATTATTTAATTGAGCACCCCAGTCGTTAGCTTAGCCACCAGTTCTGTAGGTCCATGGAGAAAATACTCGCTTGATTTGTGTGCAGATGTCCTCCACGCTGCAGCGAAACATTGGAGAGTACCACGCTGTGTTCGCAACTGATTGCCGAAAAAATCCCACACAAATGTCTTAATCATTTGTGCTCTGAACCTTTTTATTTTTCTTCATTTAGTTTTTTCGTCCAACATCGGCAATGGTGGAACGAATCAGGATGTGGTTCAGTTTTTCCTTCTTTACAAAAAAGGAAGAAATCGTCAGAATTTAAACTGTTTTCACTTTCTAGCGTCAGGTAATATTGCACGTTTCAAGAGAAAGCCATCATATTCTTCCTCATCTTCCAACAACTTCTCGTTTGCTGATTAGATTCTAATTTCAGATGAGCTTCATTAGCCAAATTTCGAACCTTGCGCTCACGCGTTCTATCGTAGAGCAGGCCGTGGCTTCGTGCAGGAAATGCAGGGTGATTGACTACACGCAGGTGTTCATCGTCAACAACACTTACCAAACGTTCGACGACCGAACACTGCTTTTTTATGTTAACTGTCAGCTTCATTTCACTTCATATGGTCTTCATCGACTGCAACCATTTTTCAAGCGAATATATGATGACATCTCCTACTCCGGGATTATTTAGCCAGAGTTAAATGTTATAACACAGTGTAGTACAACATGTCGACATGTAATAATGATCATATAGTATGTAAGATAGCATAAAAGTGGACAAGCCACTGAAAATCAGTCTTAAATACGCGTCACTGCGTCCATACCCTTTTTCGATCATTGAGTGCTCTCAGTGGGCATGCTTAAGACATTCTCCCCCAGATATTTCTGAACGAACGTGGCGTCACAAGTAACTAACTCATGGAGTGATGAGGCATCTTTTAAAACTAGCATGACGTTCTTATGTAGCAAGTTGCGGTTCGATATGATTCTTTCAAGCTTTTAAGAATTCATTTCCCATTATTGATCAATTTCTCAAGTTCAGAATAGAAAATTAACTCATGAATCGTATTTATTTGAATTAATGTTATGTCCACACCTCATATTCTTCAAATGCGATGGCTGAGCTTTCGGGTATTTCGCCTTTCTGGGAGCATGGACGTACGTTTCACTCCTTAGACGGAGTAGAGTCACCCGTAAATTGTCGATACACTATGAACAATCGCATTGCAACTTCCTAAGATCGTTCGTGAGACCTTATTGATTACTCGTGTCGAGCTTAAAGTGAAAGTCGGTCTTTCGAATGGAAGGGTTGTGCCGTTCTCAAACATTGCCTAGGACGATTGTGAAAAAGATGTAAGTTTTAGACTCCTTTTAGGCTATTAAAATCCTGAAGAACTATGGTACCTATAACTTAAACGCGTTTATTTGCTAGGATTTTGAAGCTCCAGGTTGTACATGTGACCGATTCAACACTTCACTCTCTGTTGCTCACCATTTGTGGCACCCGAAAAGAATTTTCCACGAAATTTGAGACATAGCAAGAGACTCAGTGCCTTACAAAACGTGTTTCGTATTGGGACCCGTATACTCTTTCATTAACGGTTTATCACCGTTGGAATCTTGGTGCAGTTGAAAGCAATGCAATATCCTTGACAAGTCTTTTTCACAAAGTTCACCCATGGCAGCATCTTACATTTTTCGCACGTTTTACATTACCCGTTTTCACACCTGCTATACCATACATACCTTCGCAATCCTCGACAAGGAAAGAATTGTAAGGAAGCGAAAAACATTTGTAGTTAAGAAAACGTTCAAAGGTTTCGTTGACGACCCTCAATGAAGGAATTAGTGCATAAGTTTTAACACTCTTAAGTTCTAGAAAGAGTATTGAGGAGTTCATAGAATTCCAGTAATTCGACTAGCTTCAATTGCGTTTTATTACCGATTTTTGTCCGGATCCAGTGATGACTTAAGTGTTTACTTATATACCTGAGTGGTACTTTCATGTTCTCCTTTGCTAGTACGGAGTCAATGGAGCCGATGGTGGTCGCTTACTTTGATCGACTAAAGAACGTGAAATGTTTAAAATCACGACCAAGTTGAAAATAGTTCAAAACTACTCGCGGAATCCTCTCAGTCGGAATAGCGACCGCTACTCATTCATTGTGAATTGGAAGTACCACAGCCAACATCATGTTGAAAACATGTGTGTTTCAACCTGCTTGATGAATTTCTAGCCAACTTCTGATGCTATTGCAATTTGGCCACCGTCTTAACATTTGTGGAAATACTCCAGCTCATAAACTCTCCCAAATGGCGGTCAGGAGGCGAAAAATTACTTTGTTAACAGCTTAACAAAGAGCTTTCCGCCAGTCCTCGTAAACACGTTGGTTCGGCTCTTCACACGTTACCTGTCGGAATGCAAGATCCCTACTCAGGGGAAGATCAACAAGAAAGTGTTATTGTTCAAGAATGGTGACCAACACGACATTGGCAACTGTATCCCACTCTGCCTGCTGTCTGTCGTCTACAAACATTTCACTCGAGTCATCCTAAACAGGATTGACAGAACACTGACGACAGGCACCCATGTGAGCAAGCAGGGCTTCGAAAAGGATTTACTACGGTGGACCACATCCACACGGTAACATGGCACATTAAAGTATCGCGAGAGTACAAAAGACCGCTCTGTCTCACATTCATCGACTTGCACAAGGCCTTTGATTCAATTGAAACAGAAGCAGCCTTGGAAGCTGTTGATAGTCAAGGAGT